CACACACACACATATATATATATATATATATATATATATATGCATGCACACACACTGATGTGTAAAAGTATTTAAAATATTGGAAATGTCTAATAACTGTAAGTCACATTTTGTATCAGAGGTTCTGAATGAAAAGAAACAGTGGAAAGTTTTCAGTCACCTGACATTTTTAATTTTCTCTTTTTCATGATGTTACCAAAATATTTGCATATTAACAGTAGAATCACTAATATGACGATATTTTTCACAACAGTGACAATTATTTCCTACATATAGTGAAAATTCTTGCATGGAATTCAGGCATTCTTTGATTGCTTGGCAAATATTTTCAAAGAAACCAGGATGAAGATAGCAAATATGGGCAAGAATAGACAGTAAGCAATAGACAAAGATGTCAGAATTTCAAGACGTGGTTCACAAACTTTTCAAACTTATCAAAAGTCTTCTTTACAAAAGCTACTGGTCAGGATAAAATCCCTTTAGTTGTTCTCAAGAACCTTGGCTCTGAGCTATCTCCAATCTTGATGAATTTATTTAATTACTGTTAAAAGAAGAAATGTTTCCCAAGGTGTCTAGTGTATGACCTGAGTATAAGAATGTAGGTGAGCCTGCATCCCCATCACTATATTGCCCTTATTATCATCAGCAAACATTTTGAATCTATCATCAACAAGAAAGCTGATCCCAACAGAAAAAAAAACCTCCTGAACAATAAACATTATGGTCTGCTACTGATGCCTTAACAATTATCATGCACAGACAAGTACTTGCTAATAAAAACATTTCAAGGGTGACTGCCTTAAATATCTTGAAGGCCATTGACAAGGTGTAGCATCAGGGATTACTGTACAAACATCAACTATGGAATCTTTGAAAGAGTCTTAATCTTGTTAATGGTCAGTCTTTGGAGGCATACAAGATCAATGCTGGCATTCCTCAAGGATCTCTCCTAGGTCCTTTCCTCTATGTATTAATGATCTACCTAATGGCTTTCTCAGACCCTTAGGAAATATATATATATATATATATATATGTAGATGATATCATAGTATATGAGTGAAAAATTTTCCTACATATATTGAAAATACTTATAAGGAATTCAGGCATTCTTTGATTGCTTGAAATCATGATAACATTACCAATACTGATAATGATGAGAGATAGAAATATTGGAACAAAAATACGACAAATTTTGGACAGTTTCTCTATAAACCTTATCCAGATGATCAAATAGGCAAATTGGGAAAATATAAACAAAACTAAACAGACAGTTTTTGTTGGTTTATTTTTACAAAATTTGTTTGAAGGTATATTTCTTGTCTATAAACAAGGAGATATACGTATGTATATAAATGGGACCTGCAGGCCCCGTGTCAATCAGTTCAATATTGAAGAGATGACCTTCTTCTGTAAGCAAGTCGCAGTTATTATATAATGGGAGATTATTCATTCCAAAATATAATACAGCTAACAAAATGTAGACATCCAAAAATATTTTTTTGTGATTCTTTAAGTTGTCTGAGTAATGATAACCTTTTAGAAAAACATCATAGGAATAAATATTTCCAAAACATTAACCATTAATAATTTTTTGATTCCTGTTCATCTTAATTTTACAAACTTTTCACTGCAAATTTTTAGACTATGGACACTAGTAAACAATTTGGCATGAAAATGAAAAATAGTCTCAATTGATAGTAATAATGGTTGACAATACTCCATATAGTGGCGTAGCTAAGGGGTGTGAGGGCGGCGGACATCCCCGGGTGCCAGCACAGGAGGGGTGACACAATGACACCCCCAACAAAATTTTTCAACCAGGCTAAGGTACCAAAAATAGTCTGAAAACAGTGGTGGAGACACAGGGTTTCGCAGACGGGTATATGACCCCCAGAAATAATTTATGACCCCCCCAGTTTTGTCCCCCCATCAGAAAGTTTCTAATAAATTGTCGGGAAATTTGTGAGTAGGGAAAATAACAATGTTTTCAGCTTTCATGTGTTTCAGTTGCTACAATCTTGGTTACTAACAAGAGACATTGTTGTAACATTTTATCGGATGATATGGTGTTTTAACTCTGCATCATTAATAACAACAAAGCGAAATATGAAACCAAAAGGGCAACAATTTCAGTCTTGCCTGTGTATCAATTCGCTGAGATACAATTTTCCATTGAGTGAGCGATATACTTTTGAATATATCTACTAGTGTTGGGATGATTAATCAGAATCAGAATCGAGAATCGGAAAAATCGGAACTTTTTGGGGTATCGGAAACGGTATCAGAATCAGAAAAATTTGTGCCTATTTTCCGATTCCAAAAACGATTCTTTTAAATTTTTAACTTAATTTTCCATTATTGGTACTAATGAAAAATATTTATTGTTTATTTAAAAATATAAATCACTAAAACTAAAAGCATAATAACATCAAAATACGATGTAAATTTATTTTACTTGTATAAAGAAAAACCAAAAAATAAACTTTGCATAAATTCTCTAGGTAACCTTTAAAAGAATGCAGTTGATTTACAATGTTCTGAAAAATGCTTAAAAATTAAATAGAACATTTTTGTCAAGAAAATACTTTCAAACATCATTGATAATTAAATGGTACCCAGAAAATGATGCAACGGAAAATTGGACACCGGAAAATTAGCAACAGAAACTTATATCAACCATGAGCCAGTCGAGACTGTCGGATCTGGCTGTGCTGTCCATTGAAAACGAGCTTACAAGACAAACAGATTTTGACAATGTTATTGACCAGTTTGCCACAATGAAAACAAGAAAACATTTATTCTAAGACCATAGTATCAAATGTCATTCTTTTGTGTATTGCTGTGTTTTGTATTTAGTTGTTCTGAAAGTGAACAGTTGCATTTTAAAAATCTTTTGATTTGAACTGATTATTTTGTGGTATTGGATTTTGTCTTGGATCATACATGTAAACAGTAACGTACCGGTCAGTAGAGTAAAGCAGAGGTAGAGCATGTATGAAAATTTAGCTACAGCTAACCATTCAGCATAGGGTGAATCGGGGTCATTGGGGTGACATTTGAGCGGACCACTCTGGGTGACGTTTACTCTAGCTACACTACTGACTCCATAAAAAGTTTAAGATAATTTATTTTCTTACATTATTTGTGGACTTTCAACAGTAGTAACAATTAAACTGGATAGTAAATGTAACACAAGGGAAAATAATGACATAATCAAGATGTTAATACACTACACTACTTCCAACAAAAAGTTAGGAAAGTGCCCATCAATACTAGAAAGAATGATAACAGCTAGTGGACTTGAAAAACCTATTTCCCTGAAAAATGTCTCAAGAGAAAGATTTAAATTTCTACTAGCAGTAACACTGACTGCTTGGTCCACAAATGCTGTACATTTCCTTATGAAGTAAATGACTAATATTACCATTACTATTTACCATTTCAAAATTAAATAAATAAAAAGGATAGCATCTGTGGCTGTCATTCATGATCATTAATTACCTTTTAATTTGAATGATCAAAACTTGAATTTTCCTCCTTCTCCATAGAAAAACTAGTGAAGATGAAGCTCAATATCAATGGTTTATAAAATATGAAAAATAACCATTGCACCATTTCAATGGTTCATGATGGCAATAAATAAATAATGTGCTTCAAAAACAAAAATGAACAACGCTTTTGAAAACTTATGTTCTCCAAATAGATAAAATTTTCTTTGAATTTTTTTTATATTTTATATTTCTTGTAATTTACTTTTTGATCAAAATTTTATCAGAATTTGTTTCTTGTGGATAATTGTGTAATTTGAGCTATACATGATGTCATGTATTACTTAAGCATATCAGAAGAAATCTCATGAAAATACAATTCTCTTTAAATGGCCAACTGTTCTAACAAACTTTCCTCTATTTTACCTCGACTTTATGAATTTATGTGCAGTACTAGATTGGCAGTTAGATCTCATCATTTTATAGTTGAAATTGCTAGATGTAACCATAAGTTCTATGCTAACAGTTTCTTTTATTACACATCTTACCTTTGGAAAACTCTCTTCCATCTCTATGCATTCAACTTTCATCTTAAAAATACAAAGTCAATTGTTATCCACTGTTTTCTTGATTTCTTCTTCTCTTTTATTGTTTTTGTTCCTTAATAATGTTTTTCTTTTTCTTTCACACTCAGTAACCCCCTTGTGTCTTATGAGCTTGTTTGCAATGAAATGATTAAAACAAAAATGTTCACTTCATCTCTACAAGCAGATTCATAAAGCTCTGAAAACTTCAATTAATAGATTTTTAGCTTAATGATGAAATTCCCAAATAAGCATGGGGAGGGGACAGAGAAAAAGAACCACAAGAAATCAATGTGAAAATGTCCCAAAGATGTCTCAAGATGCCCCTTGCTTGAATGCATAAAAGATGTACTGTATTTCTTTACTTTCTAATACAGAGAGAGACCAAAAAAATCCGAATGTACTTTGAAAGAATTGTGTTTGTTAAAATAAATATCTCTTTAAATATCTCCTTTTTTGTTGTTACTTTAAGTGAAAATACAGTTCATTTTTATTCTATTCCTTTTATTTTTAATTATTTTTTTACTCAATCATTCATCTTATTATTTATTACTTTATTGCTATTTATTATCCCCTGAAAATTATGCTAAAAGGGCTTTGAGACAGAAATAGTGTAGACCAGTAAAACATTTTATTTGCACTTTACTTGTTAATTTTTACACGGGCTGTAAAGATTTTTTTATCTATTTTTATGAAAAGAATTTTTAAGTTTGTTTTTATTAAAAAGTTTCTTAAAATAACTTTAATGAAAAACTGATACAGAATGAACATATTGTCTAGTGTATTTTTCTCTAAATGGTTATCACAAGAACAAGACCAACAAAAAGAAGGATAGAGGAGAATAATCTAGAAGGGGAGGAGATTATAACAGAATAATATGAGGGGGAATAATTACAAGAGAAAGGAGAGTTAGTGTTAACATTTATTGTTAAGGAAAATAATGAGGTGGATGAAAGGGATAAGAATAAGAGACAATTGTGGGAGAGAGACTATAAAGAGGAAAGTAAAGAAAACAGGAAAGAGAGAGAGAGTGGGTAGTGGAGAGAAAAAGAAAGAACAGGTATGATAGAAATGAGGAAGAGGAGAAAGAGAAGTGAGTATTAAAGATAAGAAAGGTAGAAATAAAGAGACATAAATGGAGAAAGAATATGAAGTGGGAATGTAGAGAGAAGGAAAGGCATTCTAAAAAGGAGAAGAAGAGGACAATGAGGAGAAGATAGGCTATAATAAAGAGATGAGGAGAAGGTAAGGATGGGGAAGTGATTTAGTAAAATGAGAATTAAAACTTGTGAAGAGAGTATCAACATTGAGCTTGAATGATGGAGAGGAAAAGGAGGAGAAAAAGATGTTAGTCTTATTAATGGAATGGAGAGAAAATGTGTGAGAGAATAAAAGGTTGATGTTCAGAACTGATGAGGATGGGAATGCTATGAAGAAGAAGAAGCGTTGTTGATAAAAATAAATGTTAGGAGAAACTGATGGTGGGCTGTTGAAAAAGAGAAAAAGATTTATGAGTGAAGAAATTAAAGAGAAATAATAAGAGAAGAAAGAGGAGATACTAAAATGTTAAGAGAGAAGGAAGAGACAAGAAAGAAAGATATTGTATAGAGGAATGGTTAGAAGAAAACAAAAAAGAAAAGAAAATAGGTTCTAAGGAGGAAGAAGAGAAAATGGTTAATGAAGTGAACAAGACAGAGAAAGATGAGAGTATAATAAACAGGAGGGTAAGAGAATGGTTGAAGGGATCTAATGATGAGATATGCTCCAAAAGTAAAATTAATGCTAGCAGCTCAGTTACAAAATAATATTCCCAAATCTTAAAGTGCCATACACCTCCAAGATTGGATCCTATTTATTTGCATCAAGAGAAACTGATGAAAAGAAGGGACTTATTTTTTCTTTTGTTTTTTTTGGGGGGGGATATTCTTTCTTCTTTCCTTTCAATCCACTAAAATAAAATTAATTTTTTGTTGTTATGAGAAGAAAGGGTAGGACCAGATTTGGGTTGGGAAGGCAGTGTTCAGGTTTCATTCACTTCTTTATTTCCTTCTTTTTAACTCTTTTCCCTTTACTACTTGTCTCTTTTATTTTTTTGCCCAAGAAAAAGAAATTTTGACTAAATGAATTTTAATTTAAAAAAATAACATACAAAACACTATCCCATCCACCACCACTGCCACCACCCTCTATCTGTTTAAGCAGAAGATAGTTTAAATTTTTTTCTCCTCTCGTTTGTAATCTTTTCTGTTAATATCATTAATTGAGATAGTGCTTTTGAAAATGTTTTGCAAAGAAGACTAGTTTGCTGCTGTCAATTTCTTCACTCTTTCACAGCCTTCAAAGACAACTTGAGGTATTTTAATCTCTCTATTATTTCTGCTTGAACAACAGAATAAAAAAATCAGGTTTCTTTCTTGCTTCTATTGTTTTCTTCTTTTTTTCTTCATCTTTAATTATCATTACTACCATTATTGGTAGCAGTAGCATAGCTGCTGCAACTATTATTGCTACTTCTCATATTATGATTATTTTTAATATTGAAAGTGCAAGTAATTGTAAGAGTCCTACCCAACAGGCAGGGTAAGTTCTGTGTATCAGCAGTTCATGTTGAACCTCATTAAAAAAAATTCCATTTTTTTAATATACACCGAGTTGTAAAAATCTATGCCTTACAGAGGAAAACTTGCAAAATTGCATGTTATTCCCAATGTATAATGTTACACATCAAACAACATATTTTACATCTAAAATTAAAAACAAAAGATAAAATGCCAGAATTTATTTTGAGGAATTACCTTCATTAAGAAAATGCTCTGTAAAAGTATCTGCTTACTTCTGTATTAGAGAGCAAATGTAGTATTGAATTTATTTATCATGTCTGGTTTAGTGTTTCGGCTATGTATCTAGAGATTCTTGAAAAAATTCAAAGAAGAATCTTTCATTTTATCAGTCATGACCTGACATCTCAGCTTCAATCACTTTCCCACCACCATAATATAGCCTCACAGTATCTTTTCAATAAATATTTTAATGGCAATTGTTCTGATGAGCTTCTGTTTTTGGTACACCAACTTCATGAATATAAGCATTGAGAAATAGACTGGCAGGTTGGTCTCATTATTTTAATGTTGAAATTGCTAGATGTAACCATAGGTTCTATTCTAATAGTGTTTTTTCTCTTGCACTTCTCACCTGTGGAACCTTTTTTTAACTTTTTGCTTTCCTGACAACTACAATTTTCAAAAGTTTAAATTAATTTAACTTCTGTTTTTTTTTTAACCTGTTCTTTTTATCATCGTTTCTACTCAATATTTTTCAGTTTTTTTTTTTTACTTAGTAACCCATTGTATTTTAGTGGTTTCATTGCCATGAGTAGGACAAAGGGATTAAAAAAATAAAATAGAATTATCCAAGTAAATGTATTTATTGTCTTAACAAGAAAGCCAACTCTTTATTCCATGTACCACATGATATTTGTTCATTTTTGTATGATCAGTAGAGTCAATAAGTATTTCTAATTGCAAAAATGAAACAAAATCATGTACAAAAAATATTACCAAAACCTTAAAATTGCTTTTTTGAGCAAAGTAAAAGCAGTTGTTTCAAATTGGAGGAGTCACAACAATAAAATTTTTGGCAGGAATCAAGTGAGAATTTGTTCAATATTCTCTTACTAATCATGTGTTACTATTCCTGAACTTGGAGTTAAAGCATACATGAGTAGAACCTCCAGAACAGTAAAGAAAAATAGAAAAAAAGAAGAAAGATTGACTTGAAAAGTAAGGTGGCTTAAAAGATGCTTAAAAAAAAAAATAATCAATGCATTCATGCAAAACTGACATTTGTGCAAAATTATATTTCACTAACACAGAAGGTGTGGCAAAAACTATTATGATGAGTTGAATTCTTTGACCAAAATGGCAAAAAATTGACACAACTGACCATTCAGCAAATACAAACCCCCACTTGAATCTGTGATACTTTACATTTCTCTGTATCTGAACCAGGAAAGTTTGTCAATATAAAAGGGAAAGGAAGTGTCATGTACTGCCAAATTCTTGAGAAGACTGTCTTCAAAATCAACCAGAAAAGTTTACTTGTGTCACTGTTTTATCTATCAACAGGTCAAAAAACATAACCAAAGTGACCCAAGGATAGTTCAAATTAAAGAAAATCAACATTCTGGGCAATTTAAATACCTGGTACATGTTTTTAAATTTCATCCAAAAACATATGCCAGGTATTTAAACTTATAATACACTGCAAATTATCATCAAATTTGAAAAGTTTTGCCATTAAGAATAAGATGAAATGTTTTTCCTCAATTGTAAAATATTGTATCCAGCAACTACAGGACATCAATGGAAACAGAAACTAAAGGTTAATAAAAAAAAAAAAAATAATTGCAAAGTTGGGACAGAGAGGCTTGGATCATGAATTCTACATAGAGGTGATTTCTGAAAAAACAAATCCAGTCTTGGACTAAAAACTTATGTTTTTATTGGGCAGTTTCTACATAAAAAATGTTATTTGATGCCAAATTTTTCCTGTTTGAGAAACACTCATAAAAAAAATTTAGTTGCACAAATTCTCGGTACACACCATTGTGCATATATATATGTAGAAAATCACAAGTCATCATTAGTGAGGTTTTGAGCATACTGGCATCAGTCAAACTGCTAATAATGGCAGATTATGTGCTCTCCTTTCCAGAAACTATACCCCGAACAAGTATCTGCAATAGGGATTAGCTACCCACCCTAGCAGACAGGTGTTCTCAGAAAATAAGAATAGCTGGCTATTATATGTTTCATTAAAACTAAATTAAAATTAAATCAAAAACTTAACCACAGTATCTTGTCAGTCATTTTTAATGAAATCTGTATAAAAGAGGGATTGTTGCCCAAATACACAATTTATATATATATATGTGTGTGTGTGTGTGTACTTACATAAATACATATAGGAGAGTAGATCAATGTTTGTAACCCAATACATTTTGTATATTTTGATTTGAAAATTTTAGCAATTTAATATTTGAACTTTCTAACGAATATTCACAACGAATCTAAGTGTATTGACAAAGAAGAAGTTTATGTTGAAAAATAAATATTTATTCTGTAAAATAAATGCTTTTCTCAATATTAGACCAAACATATTGATTTTTTATATATATATATATATATATATATATATATATATATATACGCGCAATGACAGAGAAAGTAGAGAAAGCAGAATGGACCAATAGACATGAATACATACTGACAAAAAATAAAATTGTAATAATTTGAAAATGTGTTTCAATTCCCTACTGCTAATTTAGTTGAATTACAGTGAATGTTACCATATACAGATCTATATGTGTGCATACTCCAAAGTAAGGTTTATATCAGTATTAATCAAAAACTATATGAATACACTGAATATCTTCATTTAGCATTAATACAGGCCCCTGTACTCTCACATGTCTGCTAATGGGGTATGCTGCCATATCTAGGCTGGAAATGTTCAGTCTTCTCTTTCCGACCTTGACAAAATTTAAAATAATTCACGTAGTCTTGCCGGAGAAAGATTTATTTTCCATTTGGTAATTTCTTTGCCATAGGCACATGTCACAAATGTTCAGATTAATATTCCATTGTTTAGTTCCACCAGTTCAGACCTTTACAACTAGGATATGCCATGCTACTTCTATCAAGTTAAATATCAAATGTAAGAACAAAGTTTCACTCAGCATTTTCCTAAGAGCTGCTACTTTATGGAACAGACTTCTGTGTGGATTTTTTCTTGAAAACTGTAATTTTAACTTCATTAAATCAAGGTTCAATCATTATCTATCCTCCTTATCCTTCTATTCACTTCCTACCACATCTTTCATTCTTATCACATATCTCATTCATTCATTCAACCTTTTAATAGTAACCCTCTGCCATGAGTGGCTCCTGAGTATTGCATTGGGCGAGATCTAGTATGACCAAAAAGAAACAAAAAAATATGAATGGTAAATACCATCCTGTAATATATAATTCCACACCTTACTTTTTGTTGAGTTGAAATTGGTCTGACTGAACACGTCACATGTTGTCTTATGTACCAATATTATTAAATAATAGTTTCAGAGTAATATTTTTTAGTGGTAGTGTATTTGGCTCAGACCTTCTGAGACTGACCTTGGGGTCAGCTGGTAGACAAAATAGGGAAGTCGATTTCGATTGGCTGAGCTGAACGTGGGAATGTTAGAGTTAGAAAGTGTTTTCAGTTAGTTTAGTTTGACACACCATACACATTGGACGTGGTTATTTCATGTCTTGGGGGAACTTGCTCCCTAGTGGGGTGATATAGTGACCCAACTGGCTCGTTAAAAATGTACACATCGACATGTTAATAAAATAGATAAGTTTAAAAATCCCTTTTGTTGAAGTTCTCATTTTACTGCCAAACAAACCAAGTAGTGATGACCCGACTAGAAGACAGTGGAGAGAGAAGTATGCAGCTTTGTTGTGGAATTGTTGTGGAAAGTCAACCAAAAGACCTTCTCAGAAGAGAGGGAGTATGCAACAATGTATGTTCAATGGTGTTAGTGCTGGCCAGGGAAGTTTTTGAATATTTTGGAGATCATGTTAAGTAGAACAGGGCATCATATAGTATATCAACTTCTTGTTACAGGAAGGGCAGCAGGGTGGGTTGGATAATATTCTGGATATACATGGCATTGTTCAATGCTCTGTCAACAAATACTAAAGGGGAATGAGAATTTTAACTTAAGGTTATGATGCTAGATATTGAGCCTGCATGTTGTGGGTGAATATACTCTGGAAAATGTTTCTCTTAGCAAGACATATGTAAATTACCATCACTTGCTTAAAGGCAAAAATTTCTCTCATCACGGAATACTGTGGGAGGCCATTCGATCCTTCCCAGGTGACACCCACAAGACACAACAGAAGACATGCATAACTTTTGTGGCAGTAGTAAAAGTGATGTGCCTCTATTTCTGCTGCTGCAGTCATATTTGCTATGATCTATGCTGTTGATGCCACATGATCTGGTACTGCTACCTTTACAATACATCAAACTTTGTAAGTATGTATACTACATGACCATGTCAAAAAAGGTCCATGGATAAAGGAATGTTCATTTGATAATTATTACTAATATTACATTATGACCAACATATCATGTTTAACATGTGCAGTAATTCTCCAAAAGGGTTATCTAGTCTTTTAATGACCCACAATCCAGTCCCTCTCAAATTCTCTAAATGGGAAAAATGAGCAAGTGTATATCTCTGGTAATTAGCAGGTAGTGTAATGGTAAATGATTTGGAATATGAAAACTGATTTTTCACTTGTAATTTTTATTGATTAATGTTGAGCTACATTGGATGAAACTGATGGTAACACAACAGTTGGATTCTTCATAAAAACAGTCAACCAATATGATTTAGAAGGTAACAGTAGACAGGTGGAGTAATGTTTTGTTCTAGAATTGTAGGTAGTGAAATTGAAGTTCAAAGTTGATGATGGTTGAAGTTAAATTCAAAAGAATTATTAAAAGTTCTTGAACAAGACATTTGTGTGTGATACAGGTCACAACCAAGTTTTATGTATATTCATGCAAGACAAAGCTCCTTCACATTTTTTAAAGTCAATTGTTGCCTATCTTTTCAAAAAGGATTTAAAAAATACCAACTTAAAAAAAATAATCTCTAGCAGCTCCAGATATTGATCCAAAAGTAAACTTTTACTCCATTATTACATAAAATTATAAGTGAAAAATCAGTTTTCATCTACTTGTTTGCCCAGGTGGGAATTTGGTTATTTTCATATCTTTAACTAATAATCTTAATATTCTTAATCTTTACTCTGTTTATATTTGTAACATGAACTTCTTCAGATATTTATTTGATGATTAATCCATTCTTTTTACTTATTATCCTTTTAATTTTTCTTTGTGATGTCATTCTTAAAGGCAAAATATTTCTTATTATCTTGCCAATGTTTTTAGCATCTTTTTTTATTGTTCCATCTTGTCTATTTAACCTTTTCGCAATTTCCAAAATAAAGATTGAAATTTTTAATTTTAGATATATAAAGATTAGTATGGGTCACAAGAAATATAACTACAAAATGAAACAGGATATTGTAAATTTTGGATCTTTATATATCTAAAATTAAAAAATAAATATCAATAATTTAGATATGATATATATTTATTTATAATATAATGAACAAGCCTTGAATTGCATCATAAAATCTCATGCCAACAAAAAATATTTTGTAAATAAAAACCAGAATTAGAAATTAAAATTCATGTTGTATTTATTATATCAATATATCCAGTAATTTTTACCAATTTTATTATGAAAACAATGGCTTACATATATATGGCATATATATATATTTTCAATTTAGGAACAAAAATAAAAATCATATATTGAATTCAGGGTGTAAGTGGAGTGTATTATCAGTTGTAGTACCTTTGCAGTGAAGCAGTTGACCATGGTTTACTTAGATGAATTGTACTGGACATACATCCAACTCTTACACATGGCTCCAGAAGTCACATGGGCATTGTAATGGCCATACCCTGGCTAAACTGTCAGAAGATAGTAAGAAGCATTTCCTAACTGGTGAAGAGGAACACCTCTCCCCAACCCACCTGTGCCAAGCAGCCTTTGGTCAGTTGCCAACATGGGCATAAGAGCTGTGCCTCAGAGGTCAACAGCTTTGCTTGAGAGGAAGTACAGGTAACCTCAACATCCCAGTGCAAAAGGAACCAGCAAGTCATTGCACTATTTTTACCTTGAATGTCACCATGAACTGCAATTATGGTGGGGAGTGGTGCAAAATGCATTAACTGAATAAATAATGATGATATTGAATTCAAAAGGGTTATGTCGGAAGATTAAACACTTAACAATTTCTCTGTTGGACTTCTAATCAGAACCTTATTGCCTATATCCCTGTCATTCAAACTTCAATTTTCATTTCCACTCCACCTTTTCATCCTTAATAATAATAATAATAATAATAAAAAAT